TTTTTTTTTTTTTTTTTTTTGGAGACCGGGTATCGCTATGTAGTACAGCCCAGCTTTGAACTCACTATGTTGCCCAGGCTGGCCTCAAACTCACAGCGATGCTCCTGCTTCAGCCTCCCAAGTACTAGGATTTCAGGCATGTGCCACCATGCCTGGCTCCATTCATTTTTAAGAAAATGCCAAATACCCTATTCTAAATAAATTTCCTGTTGTTTTTTCAAGTAAGAATGGTGTTCTATTGGGACAGAATTTCAGCTCAACTGCAAGTGCTTTTCCTCTAGATAATTATCTCTGTGTGCACCAGGAAGGCTTAGTGCAGGCTTCCTCTCATTGCACAGCATAGGAAAAAGATTCCGGTACCAAGATTCAAGACTGAACAGGGAAGAAAAAAAGTTGGATTGTGTAATATCCAAAAAACCTGAGAGTCCTTTTTCTTTATAATACTGAGCTGCATGAACTGAGGCACTGACCCAATAATTTTGTTTTATTACATTATAGCCTTTTAAATAGCACTGTAAAAGAATTGAAAATAAAATAGGAGAAAAATTTTAACTAGGGATTAAACCCAGGGGTTTTGCAATGAGCTACATCTCCAGCCATTTTATTTTGAGATGAGGTTTTGCTAAATTGCCCAGGCCAGGCTCCAACCTCTGACCTCTACCACAGGCTCCCAGAGTCTGGGGTAACTGTCACATCACCCTGAGGGCTTCACTTTTTTTTTTTTTTTTTTTTTTTTTTTTGGTACCGGGGATCAAACTTGGGTCCTTGCACTTGCGAGGCAGGAGTGGAACCACTGAGCTAAATCCCTGGCCCTGAGGGCTTTATCATTATATGTATTTCTACCTATTTTCAAATATTATAAAAATTTGACTGGTTTGAAGCAAAGAATGGAGATTATCTGGACATTCAGTGTGGTTTGTGTAATAGTGATTAAGGTCCTGTGCAGTCCTCAGTATTACTGACCCACAAGGGACAGTGATGTGTGAATGGCAGCTGGTAAAACCTCAGCAAACTTGGCTGGGCGTGGTGGTGCACACCTGTAATCTCAGCATGGGGGAGGCTGAGACAGGAGGATCACTGTGAGTCTGAGGCCATCCTAGGCTACATGGTAAGTTTGAGGCCTATTTGAAGTGTGTGTGTATGTGTGTGTCTATCTGACGTGTGTGTGTGTGTGTGTGTGTGTGTCTCAAAAAAAAACTAAATGGGTAATTTTTACTGCTTTGCTGAGGACATCCTTAGGTAAACCTGACCTTTTTATATACTGTGAGTATATAACAGTGACAAATATGAGTGTAATCTTTGACATTCTTGACGCATGGGGCCAACACTTTTACCTACTGTTGTTTTTGTACTAAGAATGCAAATGTCATCCCCATAAAAAGAAAAAGGCCCATCTGGTATTGTTGTGAAAATAATTCCGATCTGTAGATGTCCACAGTCAACAGACCACACAGCTGAATACGTTTTTATTGTTGTTGTTGTTGATGTGTTTTTCAGGGTGTGATTTTCTCCCATTTATAATGTGTTTTTATGCCTTTTATTGACGATTTTGAAGTTGTAAATGCTCTAGCTCCACACCAGCCAGTTAATACCAGTGTCTATGGTATTATGCATGTCTCATTTCCATACTGAGGGACTTTTACTACAAAAGAAGTGATACATGCCGTGTCACAAATAAGGCTGAACTTTTTACATTGCTAATCTAGTCTTTCAATTTTGTGTTCGGCACCCTCAAAATCTATTTCAGTTGCAACCTCTAACCCAGGGAAGTGTCTGTCGTGCACGAACTCGACATTCACCTTTACCACCTGCAGGATACTACACCCTTCTGATGTCACTCAGGTTACCCCGAGGTAAGAAGGCCTGGGAATCAGAGCACTCACATGAATCTTTTTAAAATTACCTCTGTCTTAATATCAGAATTTTAATTAATATTCTGTGATGATTTGTCTTTAGAGTAGCCTGTCATATTTTCTCATTTGATCATTATAACTTTGAAACAGGCAGGACGAACTAAGTGTGTGTTTTGTAAAATGAAGAAACAAAGGCATAAAAGTTGAAGTTACTAGTCCAAGGGGGGACAGCCAGCAGATGGCACAGCCAAGGCTGTGCTCAGAGCTTGCCAGACTGCAAGATGTGAGGGACTGGCCTCTCCACACGGCACCTTCACTTCTGCTACCATGTGCAGATTCTGGGGGTTCCAGGAAGCTTCCACTGAGAATCAGAAACCTGTGAAACTTGTGGCTGCTCTTGTAAGGAAAGGATACAGGATGAAATTATCCAAAGAAGAAATGACAGGACAGTCTCTGGGATTGTACATGGGAAACTTCTCTTGTCCTTAGGATTCATTACTTTCTCGACACTGATGTGTGTGCGTGGAATATTGCCAACCAGATAAACTGACTCAAGCATCATTGTCCAAAGTTTTTATTGTGATTGAGGCTTCAGCCTCCAGGAAAGCAACACTGCATGCATGACCCAAAGCCCCTACTCTAACACACATTGTTGATTCTTCTGGCACGGCCAGGCTCATCCTAAGATCTCGTTCGACCATTTCCCCACTCTGACTAAAGCCGCGTCTAGCATTTAGGATACAGATGGCCTCCCAGGCAGACTCTAGACGAGGCCAAATCACTTACTACAAGGGCTTCCTTTGTAAGCCACATGGATGCTGTTTCCATCCAACCAATGCCCTAAAGAAGCTGAGGGAGCTTTCAGGAGTCTGTTGACCTTGGTAGAGATGTGTACTAGAACTAGAAAACAAAGGGGATGCAAGGAGGGCCCAAGAGCAAGGGTGTCAGGGTGGGAGAGTGAGCCCTAGTGTACGCACTGTCTGAGAACATCTCGAAAACCTGCTAAGGTAACCCATGTGTTTGAATCAACTTTCTCGCTTGTGTAGAGGGAAATGTAGTTATGATTCACAGTGCCTATAAAATAGCAAATCAATTGTTTAGATCCAGTAAAGATCCCAGTAAAGTCTATAATAAATATACCTACAGTTCTTCTGCATTTAAAGTCACCAAGATAAGTTTTATGAAATTGGAAATGAAGTCTGCAGTCGGGAAAGGATGGGCAATTTCACAGTGAAGTAGGAAGAGGGAATTGAGAGACTGGGAACACAGAAATTGACTGCACCAGATCAGAGGCTTTAACCACAGAGTAAAATGTGTTTGAATGAATGTTTCAGAAAGTTCACTTCTGACTCTTAAACTTGTATTTTGTTCCTAATCTTTAAAAGTCATGGTGTGATACTGTGGTATTCTGTACTGAAGTAAATACTTATTAAATACTCATAAACATCTCAGAGTGGACAGCTGGCTGAAGAAGAATCCTGTCCATCCCATCACCGTTCCCTTCAGTACATGATTTCTTATTTAATTGTTCTTCCGATAAGAAGAAATACTGTTATTGCTGTCAAAGCTATTAATTATGTTTAATTTCCTAGAAATATATATTCCAAGTCAAGGTTCCATGGATATTAGCATTGTTTGGAATTCGCATTTCTTGAGAAGAATGGAAATTTAATAGACATTTATTGTTCCTCAGTGATGCAAAACTTAATTAGAAATAAGCAGCATTTTGAGTCTTATTACAAAGGATTGTATTTTCTGAAAGGCTGATTATTGTTTCTTGGTATATATTTCACTTTATGGAAAGGAGGTATTAATAAAAATTAAATAGCAGCTTGCGATTGCTTGTCGTCTTAGACTCTCTCCCACATTTTCTTCAGCTCTGGCTTCCCTGCACTGTCCTGTGGAAGCAGCGGCAGCGGCTCATCAAGCACAGCTGTGAACCCCCCAGCCTTGCCCTACATGCTTAGCACGGGTGAGTCCATCACCAACCGACGAGACTCCACGACAACCTTCAGTAGCACCGTGAGCTTGGCCAAACTCCTACAAGAGCGGGGCATCTCTGCTAAAGTGTACCACAGCCCAGTGTCCGAGAAGCCTCTTCTCCAAGTGCGCCCCCAACCTCCGGCCACACCTTCCACACCCCCGAATTCCCCGTCTCATTCACAGTGCGCCTCTCCGGTGTCCTTTGAGCACCGAGTGCATCTCTCTGAAAACTTTTTGGCCTCTCGCCCAGCTGAAACCTTCCTCCAGGAGATGTATGGCTTGAGACCCTCCCGGAACTCTCCTGATGTGGGCCAGCTGAAGATGAACCTGGTGGACAGGCTGAAGAGGCTGGGCATAGCCAGAGTGGTCAAGGCCCCCAACACACGGGCAGATGGGAGAAGCCAAGAGGCAGACATCGGTCTTCAGAAAGCAGACTCTGCTGTGTATTTAAATTCGAGGAGCAGCTTATTGGGTGGGCTGAGGAGAAATCAGAGTCTTCCAGTCATGATGGGGAGCCTTGGTGGCCTGGTTTGCACATCAGCCCCGAGAATGGACGTCCTGAAGGAGGACTGAGGCTCAGTGGTAAGCCAGTCTGTTGTCCAGGGTGGCACAGGAAGGGCAACTGTGCACTGACTTGCGCAGTGTGGTCTGACTAGAGGGAATGTCGCCGAAGGCTGTGAATGTGGAGAGGGACGTGAAGGGTTGGGAACAAAGCCGGGATGAGGTCTGGTAAATTGGAAGTGTAAATGATGGTCTGGGAGTGTCTGGAGACGGGAAAACGAAAGGCCTCATACCCTCCTTCAGTTGAGCTTTCTTGTCTTGAAAATAAAAACTGAGTAGAGAATAAATTCTAAAATATTGAAACCTACCAGAAATATCTTCCCTTCTGCTGAGCTTAGCAGGAGGCTGAGAGAGGACAGCAGCTGGGCTCTGCAGGCAGCAGCTGCTTTACAGGCAGGCACAGCAGGCGCCGTGAGACCTTTGCCCCTGCTGATGTCCGATTAAACCACAAGGCCGGCTCCTGCATGTGCGCAGCACTAGCGAGACAGGGATTTTATGTATTTCACTAGATCCAAGTACAAACTTCTCCTTTCTCTTTTCAAATCTTTGAGACACTGGGGGCCCAAATACCATCTAAATTTGTATTTGTGATTACCAAAAGTTCATTTTTAAAATTTGTATTTTTATACAGCATAAAAAAAACATGGATAAGGGTTAGGAGAGATTTACTGTAAGAAGAAAAATATGAGTCATTTAGAACCAAGGAACCTTGTTTTTATAATATTTCTTCTGGGCAATACAGCGGCCAAGGAGTACAAACATAATTGTCTTTCAGATTTCCTTAGAGGCTGGAAGGATTAAGCCAGAAGTGCAATCTTTAGCAATTAGATTATGTCTTATATTTATATATCTAATTTGTTTTGTAAGGAAAGTTGATTGCAACTTTTCCCAAAGTGCACTATGCATATTTTTAATGAAGATGACATGTATTTGCACAATAATTCTCAGGCACATTAAATTATTATCAACTAAAGTTATAAACCCAGGTGCTTGCTTTGACAGTGTGTGTTGTTTTCGTTTTTTCCTAATGTATGTTAAAACACATCTGCCTCGTTCTTGGTATCTGTGGAATTAAAGAATGAACTTTTTAATGGGAGAGTAAAAGCTACTTTTTCTCTGAGGTTCTTTTTGTGCTAACTGAAGTAGCAGGGCCAGACTGTGAGGTTAGGGGCCAGCATTCAGCATTGAGGCACAAAGATGACCTGGGAGGAAGCGGTCTGTGTTCTTGATGCGGTGTGGGTGTGCTCCTGGCTGGGGGCTGGCTGTGTAGGCCCTCAGGAGGAAAGGAGGTGCAGGCAGGTGAGGGAGTGGCTTACTCTTTTGTTGATAAAAACAGATGTATCACCTGATCTTTTTGGTGCTTAATTTGCTATTGTTTTTACTCCTTTAACCTGACTTAGTTGAAAGGCAGTTTTCTGAAGAATTCTTCATGCCCACTCTGTTCCCTGCTCGCCTGAGCTGGGGTGAAGGGGAGGCGTCCCCTCCTCTCTTCTCCTGTGCTGCTTTCCCTGCATGAAGAGCTTGTGCTCCAAAGTGTAGAAAATCCAACACCTGTGCAGTGATAAGAACGTGTGAGTTCTTCTGCTTTTTAGACTCTTCTTTTAAATAGATGTTTTAAAAACAGGTGATGGAGAGGCATTGCCTCCTTTTCTCCTTTGCCCAGTCTTGAATCTGCGCACACATTTACAAGGTATCCCAGGTCACTATCTGTCCCTGAATAGATCAAGCACTGAAACAGGAGAGGTCCTGATGTTTAAAATTTCTAAATCTCCGAATTCACTTTTTTAAAAATAGCATTTTAATTTCTACTACAGAAAGTAACTCTGGGTTGCTTCCTTTAGTCAGCTCTTAAAGCTATTCATTTGTTCTGTAAGAAAAGGCATTTCCATTACCTGGACATTCACATCTTACAAGAACATCAGAAGTAGTAAAATGTGGGGCCAGGGAGAGGTACAGTGTTAAATTATCAGACTTATACATTGTGTAAATCACTGGAAGCTAGATTTTGTAGTGTTCTATGTTAAGTATAATTTGTATACTTTTTATAATCAATTCCCAGATGATCAATGGAGGCAGAGTGGGTGTTTCAGCATCCAAACGAGCACAGCTGACTAAACAAAACCAGACTTAGGTTTGGAAATGAGATTGATATAGATGTTCTGTCTGAACCAGGAGTTGTAGACTGGAGCATGCTATTCTGTAGAAATGAATCCTGTCTTGACTCTTCTGCAGTCTCTACCTGAAATCATTTTGGTACAGCCTGAGAGTCCGTTACACCAGAATTGTCTGCAGCGTGTGGTAAGAGCTGGAGCCTTACAGCAGGCTCCTCGGCTCACCTGTGTCTCGCTTTAGCTCTGTAGAATCAGTTGAGTGTGCACTTTCTTGCCAGTATGGGAAATCCCAATTTCTTTTAATTCATTCTTTGGCAGTTTTAAGCAATTATACCCCAGGTATTTCTGAATATCCTGTTATCTAGTAAGGGAGATGACCTTTGTGAGCTCAAAATTTAAAGTTCTCCTGAATTATGAAGACTCCAAATCTGTGTAAATAGCCTTAGCCTTAGCCTCTTTGGGGAGAAGTTAATGACTATTGTTAAAGTCATTTTTTTTTTTAAGTTTTAGCTGTTGCCCTTGATTTGACATAAAGATCAGGCTTTGGCAAGGGAGGAAGTAAGAGGCCAATTACAGGTGGGCATAAATGTCTATAAAAATATTTAAAATGTAAAAGACATAGTTTATGCAGTATTCATATCTTGTTATTTTTCTGATTATCGCGGTACATGATTGACGCTGGGTGGGCCTCACGTCACCTTCAGACTTGAGGAACCAGCGCCCTCAGTGTGCTCTGCCTGCGGGTTGTGTTCAGCTGTGCAGCCCGCGGGGTGGCCACAGCGCCCTCTGCGGGGGTATCTGGGAAATGCCACTGTGTAAGGTATGGGACCTGAAGGTTTGTCAGCTGTAAATCAAATAAACATGAGTTAACTTCTTAAAGTTTCCTTTATTTCCCTGTGCTTTTGTTCAAACTTCTCTGCACAGATAACACTGCAGAAAGTCTTTCCTTTATGTCATTTTTTGGGCTAGAAAACCCATACTTGTCAAACCAAAACCAAACAAACCATGGATAGTAAGCAGCAAACAGAGTTTACTGTGTTTCGTAAGTATCTTAAAAATAAAAGACAGAGCTGGGGATTTAGCTCAGTGGTGCCACTGCCTGCTTCACAAGGGTCCAGTGACCGGTCCCTAGTTCGATCTCCGGTACCAGAAAAAATAAATAGACAATGTCAGTGTACATTATAATATTTCCTCAGCAAAATAACAGCAACCAAAAATAAAATCTAAACTCATCAATATTCAGATATTAAGATTCAGTGTGACTGGGCCGGGGATTTAGCTCAGTGGTTCCACTGCCTGCCTCGCAAGCGCGAGGACCTGAGTTCAATCCCAGGTACCAAAAAAAAAAGATTCAGTATGAGATTTTCCTATAATTTACAATTTAATCTTAACAATCATAGCTATTTAGAAATTGTTTTTTAAAAAGTAAATATAAATGTGATTGGACTCCAATAGAAAAGGTCCAGCAATGCCATTTTTCATAATATGGTTTCTGTGTTTTTTAAAGATTCATGTGCTATCCACATAGAATTATGAACATTTAGTGAGGAATAAAGTGTGACACTCTACATTTGGGATATAAAATTTAGTAATACTGCCAGCATTTTAAATAGTGTTTTCTTTCACAAATGAATCAAGCCCAAAAATTTGATAAGGCTAAGGATCTGGGGCTGTGGCTGGCTGGCAGCTTGCCTGTGATAGCCATAAGAAAGTATGAGTAAATCATGCAAAGGGTGGTAGATGTTAGTGCAAAGTACATGGACCCAGATATGTAAAAGCAAAGTATCTCACAAAACTTCATCTTCTTGTCTTCTCAGAGAAATACATCCTTACAAAGCAAGGTTTCCACGTCACATTCAAACAGTAATATGGGCTAGAAGTTTTCACTCACTTTCATATAGTCCGCTGCTACACACATGGCTGTGTTCATCTTCTCCCACAAAGCCTCTGTCCAGGGCTACCCGACTTAGGGCCGCCTTCCATCTGGACCTCCATCTAAGTTTATTCAGAACTGGTATTGCAAAATGCCCTTTCTGTTGATGCAGATGTGCCCTGAAGCATGGTACCTGTGTAATTACTAAGAACGGAGCAAGGCATGGTAGTGCACACCTGTAATCCCAGCACTCAGGAGGCTGAGGCAGGATTGCCATAAGTTCAACACCAGGCTGAACTATATAGTAAGACCCCGTGTTTAAAAAGTGGATATGCTCAGCACCTGGAAATCTCACGCCTATGACTTCCCTCATGTGTACACCCAGCCACAGCACACACCTCAAACCTCATGGTGTCTCTACACAGTCCTTTTGTTTTGAAGGTCAGGGTGGGGAGTGGAGAAGCATCCTGGGGATGATGAAGAGGCCTGGGGCTGGTGGTGATAAGAGCAGGCTCAGGGGGTATGGGTTCTGCTGAGCTCCAGGCCAAGTGCCCCATGTTCTGCAGCAAATGTCTCTGTGTGGCTGCTGCCTGGGAGTGAGCAGAGCACCCTGAAGCCAGATCTCCAGCATCTATCAGTGATCAAAGGGAACTGAGCAGGGTGGAGACAGTTTCCCTCTCTAGAATGGTCTCCATGGTGGAACTGTTGCAGCACTGCCAGTTGCTCCTGGCCAACCATGTATGGCTCCTCAGGAGGCTGCAGCACCACGCAGTATGGTGTCCCTCCCCCAGGTGTAGGCTGATTTTGATAATGTAGCTGTCAGGATTGAGTCACAGCTCCTCATTTATTCAGCTTGTACTTTGTTATACCGTGGGTGCTCTGGTCTTCTCCACCTGTGTTCAAATACTAAGGCACAGTGCTTTGGGGAAGAGTCAGGGTTCCAGTGTTTCTCTAAATTTAGTGAGAGAAAAGATCAGCTGATGTTTCTCCCCTAAAAGCCTTCACGTCTTCCCTCTTTGCTTCTTTGAAGCTGATGGAGCTGTAGTCATGCCCAAGAGGAGAAAAGAATGAAAAATTCCAAAGTAGTGGAAATCAGTGGCCACAGCATGTGGCTGGGATTTTGCTTCAGCACCTGCTCCTTTCTATCTTGGTTTTCAGTCACTTTTCACTCAAAACCCAAATCCTGCTTTTTGCAAATCATAAGAAAAAAATGTTTCTTTAGACAGGGTCTCACTATGTAGCTCAGGCTGGCCTTGATCTCCCTATATAACCCAGGCTGATCTCAAAGTCATGACTGTCATCTTGCCTCAGCCTCCCGAGTGCTGGAATTACAGGTGTGCATCACCAAGCTCAGCATAAAAACACTTTCTTTTTTAATTTGGTTGGTTTTTTGAGACAGAGACTTGCTATGTAATGAACTACATAGCCCAGGCTGGCCTTGAACTTGCAGGGATGGGATTACAGGCATGCACCACCACACCTGGAAAGAACAGTTTTGAATATAAAATTTTACACGATGAACCAACAGGAACACCCAGTCCTAAGATGGAGATGAGTTTGGCTAGATGACTGGTCAAATGTACCAGCTCTTTTCTCTGTAATTTCTTTCTTCCTTCTAAGCTTTGAATGTCTCTTCTCCTGTCTCTGACCCTTCATGTTGTGGTAGCCACAGTGCAACCAGGAAGCTTTCCTACATCCAGCTGAAATGGACATCACAGGGACATCTGCCCAGCTGTCATTACCTTGCCTCAGACTTTGTACTTTATGAAGTTAATAAACCTCTTTGACTTAAACTACTAGTGATCAAGTTACAACAGTAAGTGCTTTAACCCATGGCCTATGTTTTGAGAAATACAATGGACCCTTCAGTTATGACCTGCCTCACATACAACTTGGATTATAACCAGAATTTTAGTGTTCTCTTATAACCAAAGTCTTGAGTTACACCTGAATGCCAGTCTTTCCCATGTGGGGTTTGAAAAACCCTGGGTCAATGTCTGTCTAAGGACACTGAGATCTATGTGGTTAAAAAGTGTGGCCTAAAATTCTACAGGAGAGAGACTTCGAAGGTCGTGTAGAGCAGCCTGAGCCTGAGCCTTCACTTGACCCTGTGGTTGATGACAGTGTCATACAGCAGAATCCGCAGGCTCACAGGTGGACAGTGGTGATGCTGAGAACCGGGGGAGGAACACGCAGAGGAGCTGTCTGCAGAGGAACTTCAACAACTCCTGGCTGAGCAACAGAGAATGGCAGCTGAGGAGCTTTCTGAAGAGGAGGAAGGAGTAACAACAGTCAGTGCAGCAAAATTGTTCTTCTAAATAAAGGAAATCCTGAAAAAATGGACAGAGCTACAAACATTTGTAGAGAAGACCCACCCAGACAGAAAAAGCCAACTGTTGCATTGAGTTGCTTAGTAACAACGCCTTATCATATTACAGAGCAGTGTTAAAGAAAAGACAGAAACAGACAACCTTAGAGTAGTTTTTAGTTCTGAAAAGGCTGAGACCTAGTGAGGTAGAAGCAGGTCTCAGTGGGCTACAGACTCCTAAGGAGAGAAAGGACACCAGAGAGCCAGTTCCCGGTGTTCTTCTGAAGGGGGACTCTCCTTTCAAACAATAACCACCGTCCATTTCACCCTCCCTGCAAGCCAAAGACATCAGCTTGAATGGTGAGTACAGTATGAAATTGTTGTTTCTGGTAAGCTAGGCACATTTGATAACTTTTTGTGAATACACTAGGAAAATTATTGGTGTTTCTGGTAAATTTGCACAGTATACAAGCCCTTTCTAGTGTGAAAATGTTAGTTAAGGGGTGCTTTGGGAGGGTTGGAACACATGGGTATTTCCATTATTTCTTATGGAAAAAATAGTTTTGACTTACAACCAATTTGAGTTACAGCCAACCCTCACAAATGAATTGAGTTTGTAAGTCAAGGGTCCACAGTATAAACACTGGCGTTCCTAGGGCACAGCTTGGTTCTAGGTGTCTCTGTGTGACCTCACTCCCTTCATTTCCAATATTTTCTATCCTGAGGACAACTACATCTGTTTCGAGACCGGACTCTTCTTTTGAACTCCAGGAAACATGACTATTTCGCTCTCTCCCTGGCACCTCAACTTATCCAAAACCGAGCTCATGATCTTCCCCTAAGTTTGTTTATGTCCCAGACTGTCCTATCTTAGTAAATGGCACCACCACTGACTTAGCCACTGGAGCTCGAGACCAGCTACGCCAGTTTCCTTCACCCTGACATCCCATGGTCGCGGGCCTGCTGTGTCTTCTCCTGTCCCCATCCCACTGCTGCTCTGCAGTTGGGGCCATGGTGAGAGCTCGTGTGAATTCTGCTACAGGCGCCAACCTGGCTCCCCTACACCTTTTCGGGGGCCCTCCAGCTGTTGCTCTGCCCCCCATCAGAATGGTTCCTGACACGCAGTTCCAGTCCGGTCACTATCTAAACTGTTGCTTGACTCAGCAGAGGTGCAGCCCTCACTGTAAGCGAGTGAGACTCAAGGTCGGATTCACGGTGCTGAGCTGCCTCCCTCCTTTCCCCACAGTGCCTGGCAAGCAGGAGATGAAGGAGGTGCGGTGAAGGTGTGGATGAATTTAAAACAAGGTTTGTAAAATGGGCTGTGACCCATGAATCATGGAATCGATCTGTATTAGAATCAGCTTTAGCTTTTATTTAGAAAAACAGATATAATGTAACCAATAGGAGTATTATGTCATAAAACAATTAAAAACATATCTTAATGAGTTGTAGTCATAACAACATAAGCAAGTAACTTTCTTATGTTAAGAAAAAGCAGTTTTATTCAGAAAAAGAAGTTTTGAAACCATTAGTAACTGAAAAAGCCCCCTACCCTGGGAGGTGCATACTTTATAGATGACAGAGCTCTAGATTCCAGACAAGCACACTTCATACTCCATCACAGCTTCTGCCTGGCAACTGTGGCCATGTGCCAGGGAAGCTTAGTAGTGCTCCCTAATTCTATTTGCTCTGAAAATGTGTCTTAGACTTATTTTGTTTCACTGCTGATGATGAAAGTGGAAACCCACTGTGAATTCCCCTGCTGTGGATGGTCCATCTCTGCCTTAGAGAACTTAACTGGCTGTGTCTCCAACTTCTCTTTTTAAGAATGGGGTCCCCTGAGCCATTGAGGCGCTACCATTCTGTTTCCATAGTGATAAAAAAAACAAACCTTCACCCGTGTCTGCCAAGGAGGAACCTTGCAAGTCAGGCTCTACTCTAGGTAGAGGGGTGAATTTCTCCTCCTGTCTGACTTTCATTACAACACCAGGAGATGGATTGGATTATCTTCAGAAGTCCTGTTCATGCCAACTCAACCTTTGTGGAAACTCTGGACTAGATTCCATGGAAGTCTGTCTCTGCGCTATACATACTGTGGATTTCTGCTTTGGTTTCTCCAACACTTGGAATACCACTGAAGTTCTGGATTCTGGAATCTCTGAATTTAACCTCAAATGAATTCAGATTTTGTGTTGTTGGGAAATAGTTTCTCTATAATATTTTGGTTTCTTTAAGATACTTGATTTGGGAAGGAACCACATGAGAAAAATCTTTGAGCAATCCAAGGTAAGTTCTTTTGAAAATATATTTTATTTTATTTTTTTCTGGTTGTTTATACTGACTAGTGTCCAGTCCAGTCCTCTTCAGACAAATCATCAGGGCAAAATGAAGAAAAAAAAAATGAAGAGGGAGAAAGAATCCTTACACACACACACACACACACACACACGCACGCATGCATGCACATGCGCGCACACACACCTACACTTTTACAGCTATACAATATAACATCAAACCAGCACAAGTTCAGGAGATCAACTTGGGCTGATATGGAATAGCTATTAGATATCTTGTTGCAGAAAAAGAGCAAGGTGCAACATAGTGTGCAAAGTATACTCTCATTTATGTAAAAAATTAAATATGCACACACAAATACACAGAACATTTCTGGAATGATGCCTAAAAAGACTGTTAACTGGCTTCCTCTTGGCAGGGCCCTCAAAGTTATGGGCTGATTTTTAGCTGGTTTGCACAGTGGCTGACAGCAGATGGCCATTGTCCAAAACCCCAGATGTCCTTCTTGTCACCTTGGCTGTCCCAAGAGCTCATGATTCAGTAACTAGGGTGGGGAGAGTACGGAGGTCCTCCAGTACCTTGATGACACCCAATAGCTCATGCCCATTGCAGTTGTGTTTCTGGTTGTTAAATGTGTTAAATATCACTCCCACGGGTATTTGAAGGGAGAGGACTTCATAGCAGCAAAATTAATAAACACCAAAGCATTGTTACTAGTGAGAAAAAAATAATCAAACATTCATCAATAGAAAACTGGTCAAAATATAAATGAAGCCAGGTGTAGTTGTGCACGCCTATAAACCCCAAATTCTGGGAAGCTGAAGCAGAAGAATCAAAAGTTTAAGCCCAGCCTGGACTTAATTAGCAAGTCCTTGTCTCAAAAAAGAGGTTGGCAGGCCAGGGATTTAGTCCAGTGGCTCCGCCGCCTGCCTCAAGGACCACAGTTCAATCCCTGGTACCATAAAAAAAAAAAAAAAGAGGTCGAGAGGTAGCTCAACGCTCAGCACTATAAACCATATGAATATATTCATATGTAATGTATTCATAAGAAAATTCCCAGACACGGTAACAAATCTCAGTCTAGTTTCAAACATTCTCTTTAAATGTGATTTATAATAATCCAGTGTAGGAGGAGGGGGTGAGTATAGTTGAATGAGATTATCCACAGGTTGATAATTGTTGAAACTATGGGATGAGTGAGTTCATTGTACTCTGTTCTGTTTTGGTCACCTAAATCTCTCCACTGTAAAAAATTAAGTTGAAAAAATGATGATATACTTCTAGTTACTGACATAAAACTAGCTCATGGCGTTATAGAAAAGTTAGGGGTTTTTGCCATTTATGGAAACTATGTAAATATGTTTCTTTAGATAATGAATTCTAGAAAGCATTAACCAAAATATCTTCAGTGGTCATCTCTCAGTGTTAGTGTTTGGGTGATTTTTTTTTTCTCCCTCGGGCTTTTCTGTTATGATTTTCTTTACAATGAACCTTTTTAAAAATATAATACCCAGCTGGGCATGGAGGCACATGCCTATAATCCCAGCACTTGGAAGGCTGACACAGGAGGATTATTGGGAGTTCAAGGCCAACCTGGGCTATACTGAGTTCAGTGCCATCCTGAATTACAGAGCAACACCCTGTCTCAAAAAAGCTTTGAAAAAATGTAATATACAAGTAATCTATCTCCCTAAAGATGTAGAAATAAGTTTCTCTATACAATTTAATTGGTAGTGCTATTCCTTGCACTGACTTTTGAGGACCTACTGTGTGTGAAATGGTGTCTCAAGAACTTTCCTGACACAGCTTTATTTAAGGTACATAGCAACACAATCCAGTATAGGCCACACTGTCCTTATTTTGCCGATGAGAAAACTGAGACTCAGAAAATAGTAAGTTCTTTACAAACTACACCCAAAGTAAGAAGCCTCTATACAAAGGCAGGCCCACTTGATTTCAAAGCTCACAAAAAAATGCTGGTTCAAAATTTTTTTGTTTTGTTTTGTTTTTGGTACCAGGAATCAAACTCGGGTCCTTCAGCTTGCTTGGCAGGTGGCAGAACCACTCAGCTAAATCTCCAGCCCTGGTACAGAACATTTTGGAGAGAAAACTCATAATGCTGACATTCTGGGCCAAGGATCAAACTCGGGTCCTTGCACTTGCAAGGCAGGAGGCAGAACCACTGAGCTAAATCGCTGACCCCCCCATCATTCTATTTTATCTTTTTTTTTTTCATAAGTACTTCATATTTCCACAGACTTTATTGGGGGTTTTTTGTTGTTGTTTTGTTCATCTGATTTTGGTGTGTTTTTTTTGGTACCAGGGAATGAACTCAGGACCTTGGTTTTGTGAGGCAGGCAGCGGAGCTACTGAGATAAATTCCTGGCCCTCCACTGAGTGATTATATAACACATGCAGTTTACTTAAGCATTCTGGCTTTTGAACTCTTGTTGCTGGGACAAAATATCCAACACCGACAAGTTAAAGGAGGAAAGGTTTGTGTTAACTCACAGTTTGTAAAAGTTTCAGTCCATAGTCTCAGGCTCCAAGAGAAGGTGACATAGCAAGGCAGGCAGGAGGCAACAGCAACAAGCTTCCCTCACTTTTGTCCCATCCAGGCTACAAAGCTGTTGGTTAGTGTCATCCAAACCCAGGGTGGGGCTTCCCATTAACCACACCCTGAACTGTGCTAAGTCAATCAGTAGACTAATTTAGTTATCACACACCCTTAGTCCATATTCATACGCCCTCCATCCAGCCACCCCAGAAAACCCTACCTATGAAACAATGAGACTTTGGAAGGACATCTAGATAGAAACCATAATGTTGGAATCATAATCACAACATTTTGGCAGTTTTGCCTGTGGGTCTCTTTCCTCCTGTTGAGCTAGTTACTACAAGGTGTGACTGTAAAAATATGGTGAATGTTTAAATAAGAATTTTAAAAATTATTACAATAGGGCTGGGGATTTAGCTCAGTAGTTCCACCGTGTGCCTTGCAAGCACAAGGTCCCGAGTTCAATCCCCAGTACCAAAAAATAAAATTATTACAATAAAAGACATATTGTCGCTAGTCCCCCTAATACCACTCCTCACTTTGAACACACTTATCCCATTGTTCTCACGACTTTCTGAAGCGGTTCTGGAAGTCTTCTTTCATGAGTGTCTTTTCATGGCTCCCTTTATGTCCTAAATCAATTCAAAATATTTACAGCAGTTTCTGTCAAACCAAAAAATTACACTGCGTCCTCATCCTCCTTATCCCCTGGATCTGGCACCAAGTGACCTCTGCTCTTCCCCAAAGTCAAAGTGACTGTGAGAGGTAAACGTTTTGAATAAATCCAGAATATGGACGCAGCCACAGCAGTGCACCTAACAGAGAAATGTCGGTAATGAAAACCAGTCATTGATTTAGAAACTGAAGTGTGTGTGTGTTTATTTGCTTGAGACAGGGTCTCTCTATGCAGTTCAGGGTGGCCCTGAACTCACTGACTATCTAGCCCAGGCTGGCCTCAAACACGGAGCAATCTTCCTGCCTCAGGCTCCTGGGTGCTGGGTGAGCCACCACACCCGGCTAGAAACTAAAGTTAAATCTCCTGTCATTTTAATGGCTCTGTTGGACTATTGATTTTCATCATAGTTTTGGTGTCTTTATTGTGTATGAAAAATCCATTATAATTTAATATCAATCAAATGGCGTTAAAAATTCATTAAGAAGCCAAGGATTTAGCTCAGTGGTTCTGCTGCCTGCCTAGCAAGGACAAGAACTGGAGTTCCATCCCGGGTACAAAAAAAAAAAAAATTAAAGAAAAGTCACCATTCCTTCCTACCCTGCATACTTACCCGCTCTGCTCTTGAGAATGCTCTGTAGGGGAATGATTTCAACTCCTTTAGCTATTTCTTTTGTACTTTAGCCTTCTACTTCTAAATAATTTGCCTTTACTCTGTTAATATTTTTTGGATTGGTTTGGTTTTTGCAGTGCTCTGGCCTTTGCTAGTTTTTTGTTTTAAACTGCACTGTTGGCCTCCTGGTACAGAGGAGGGGATTTAGCTCTTGCACACCTCCCTCTGCTTCTCTCCAATCCCTTCGGTGCAATAGCTTACTGATTGGTTGGACCAACACAAGTGTCCACGTTGCTGCAGATGTGCATGTACTTTCCTATAATTATACTTATTTTCTTGGACAATTTTTCAACCAGAGTAACTGCACATTTTATTTCTTAGGTTTCTATACTCTCATCGCCAATTTTCACCCTACGTTCTCTGACTCATAATTCTCTGTAACAACTGGTCACAAATTTAGAAGCTTCAAACATCAACTTGTTTTCTTACAGTTCTTAGGGTCAAAGTTGGAAACGGCGCCCCCTGGCTGGAGTGAGGTTGGCAGGCCCGAGTTCCTCCCAGGGCACTGGCTCCTTATGGTTTCTGCAGGCTGCCTGAGGCCGTGCCTTCTTCACTGCAGCTGACTGCAGCCTCTCCCCACCTCAGTCACAGCCACAGAGTCCCTTCTGCTGTGCAAGGTCACAACTCCACAGCTCCAGCCTCAGGACAGGGACGAGTGTGAGGTGGAGCTGTCCCAGCAGACCTGCCAGTGCCAGCAGCGTCACCAGATACCACAGGCTCGAGTCTGGGGCCTTTGGCAGCCACTTCTGTCCACTGCCTTTGCCAGCGAGGAGGTCCCCTGGGCCATGTGAGGTCCTGGTGCCAGCTGTGCTCCCGGTGCAATGCCGTCTCCGCTCCCATTTTCTTGTGTGGTGGAAAGAGAGCTTTCTGGGTCCTGTACCCTCATTTCAGTGGAGTTCTGGAAAAGCAAAGATAAACCACTGTGGGTTTGCCTGACCGTCTATCTAGTAGCCAGCTGTCTAGTACCCTTCACCACAGGCCCGGTGTGTAGACAGCTGGGAAGTCTCTTTCTGTAACCTGGGCAGGTGACCAGGAATGAGAAACCGGGACACTCGCTTGGGCCACACATGAGCCACAAAGCTAGTGTTCTGGAAGCTGTGTGCAGAGCTGGTTGTAAGACTTGCTCTTGACTTCAGGGAGTGCTCATGTGACCTGAAAGGAGGGGAGGGTGTAGGAGTCAGGGAGACTGTGTGCTTCCCTGACTCAGCAACTGTGCTCTGTGAATTTTCCAAGACTCCTTGTAAAGGAGTAAAATGGAGACACCAACAACTGAGCACTTAGTACTGAATTTCTGCAAAAAGAAGACCAAGTCTTGCATTAATTTTTGCTCCAAAAGATGGAATAGGAGTTATTTTCAGGGGATTTTTTTATGTAGAGTGATCTACATTTATTTATTCATTTACTAGTGATGTCATTTTCTTCTGGATCATCGTCATGACTCTCCAAACTCCAAATTCTGGCCTTAATTTCTTGTGACTCCACTTCCTGCAGAACCATTGGCCCAATCTCTCATGGCCAGCAATAGCGCCCCGCTTAAATGAGCACTGCTTGTCTGTGTCACCTGCTTGAGGTGCATTGGCACACAGCTGTCAGCAACTTTACCCCATGAATTCTTCACCCAAGCCCTGACCTCTTCCTGGCTGGGCTTCATAAAGTTTCTATTAAATGAAGTGTTAACTGAAGACTTACAGGACAGGCACTGCAAAAAAAAAAAAAAAAAAAAAAAGGG